TCTGAACACGTTTCAAAAGTTTATTTCAATCATCCGCAGAGCACATCACCAACGCATGCACAAAGCGTTCACTTTTTCAACTTTCAATTTTTTCAGCTCTAGCGGACCACAATCAACCTTTGATTTCAAGTCAAGTCAGACCTCCTACTGTCGATACAACAATTCTACTTATCGCATGGCTCTACCACCCCTTTCAATCATATTAATTCTTTTCTTCAACAACTTTTCAACCCAATAACCCTACAATTGTGACAAAGCACTGTAACCTTATACAGGATCACAGGTGAAACATTGCCTAGGAAGACGCACAAGTCTATATCCTCGCTTTGCACCTGGATCTCAGTATTTGATTGTCTGTGCAACACTTACAATTGCATATTCTTCAACCCCTAACCCTTTCCAACGCCCGCCAACAATTTCTTAGAACATCATCATTAATTTTTATCAAACAAAGGTTTTATCTAAAGTTCTCTTTTATAATGAATATCATAACTTTTAAATTAAACATAAGTTTTATTTTTATAATTTTCAGATATATCCAAATAAACATCTTGTTATAGCCCTTTACCCTCACAGTTTTAATTAATTAAAAGAAATTTTAATTACTTACCTATGTTAGAGAGGCTTTACGGATAAACCCTTTCACTCCCGGGGCCCATCTATGATAATTTAAACCAACAACCCTATATATTATAATATTTATAACAAGATTGTCATGTTGTATATAGAACTAATTATAAACTATAACTAATTATACGCATAATTGACGTGTCTCCTTGCATCACCATATGTAATGTACTGAGGATGAATAAATAAAACTATATAATAGATTAAAAGCTGAGTTAAAAGCAAGATTTGAGAAGAATCACAAAGTAACTTCTAAAGATAGATTGGAAGCCGACAGACCGGTGCCAGTGTCGATTAACGGACACGTGCAGTAAGGCAATACTTCCTGTTCCCCTTCCTGGTCCAAGGAGTTGTATAAATAAGACCCGACCTAGCAACAGAGTGAGTCAGTTACAGTTAGTCTTTCGGTCAGCGTCACCCCTTGTCGTCTCCAAGGACCAACTCATCGACCATGTAAAACAGTAAGAAACCTTCTCGATCTCCATCTTGCTCTTGGCTCGACTTTTTTATCTATTCAGGGAACTTCCCTTCTACAACTGTGTCGCTTCGTTTTTGTGTGTGGACATTCCCAAGCTTTTCCACTCTGCCTCGACCACGACTGCCTGTACTTTGTGAGAACTGTTAAAGATCCTACAAGGTGCAGAGAGGTACTGGAAAACTCTCCACGCCCTGACTGTCCCTCTCGGTTACTACTGGTTTGACCCTCGGTTACCACAACTTATAGCGAGAGTCGACGAGGTTCTACAAGAGTCAACCAGAACTTCAACGTATTATTACATATATATAAATGAATGTATGTTTATGTGTGTCTGTCCTTTATGCCCGACCAAACCACTCATTGGAACGCCATGAAACTTTGGGAAGTTATTTAGTATAGTACTGGGAAAGTTTCAGAAAAATAATTTCTTGAATATCCTTAGAGTTATCTGTAGATTCAACTCGCAAGCAGCGCCCCCATTGCGACGATGTTAACAAGTTTTTATCTATAAGTTTTATTATCACTAAGTTTATTATATTAAAGATTATTTATCAAAAGTAAGATTTTCAACCTATTAATTGCGCACAAGTCAAAGTTAGTTATTGAGTATTTTTCAAGGGACAGGGAAAAAATGTTCACTAGATAAAACGATGATTTTGTAATGTAGAAAATTAGGAAAGACAAAATTCAGGATGACAGGGCAATTTATATATATATACAATTCCAAGGAAGATACTATCCCTTTAACTTCCAATTACCGAGGGAACCAATTAATATTGATTTTATTCAACTTATCGAGTATTTTTCAAGGGACCGGAAAAAAGGTTCACTTTATCGAGAGATTCAAATTTACAAGTTTCAAATTATCAAAATATATCTTTTTTTTTTATATAAGTTTATGGAGAATTGTGCTAACAAATGTTCGCTAGACAAACCTTTACTCTGGTAAAACCCTGGCGAAGCCTACATCCGCTAGTTATGAATAAAACTAAACACACATATATATTAAAATTTTAAAATTATATATAAACAAAAAAGGTTGTTATTAAAATGAAAAAGGCTGGCATTAAAGTGTAAAAAGTTGCTATTAAAGTGCAAAATGTCTCGAAATTTCAGAACCTATATACATATCTTATTAAAGTTAAAATTTCGTAGTGTTGAGTTTAATTTATTAATATGAAAAATTTCATTCAAAAAAATAATTTTATTCTTATTTATTTTATTTTTAAAGTTTTCATTGAAAATCATCATTAAAATATTTTAGAACGTGATTGTTTTGCTCACGTCTAAATATATTTTTTTACCCCTTTCTTTTTGTATACCTTTTGATATTGACCACTCCAAGAACCTGGGTTAGCCAAATAAATAATTTTTTTATATACATACTCTCCAGGAAAATCTGAGTTAACAAAATAGAATATAAAAATAAATAATACATTATTATTATTATTATAAAGTCATGTTTAAATCTTTTTCAAAAGGGCGACATATTTTGCCTGAAAATAAATTAAATGCTAAGAAGACATTATTTCAAAATGAAACGTCTGATATAGACGTAGTAACATGTGATTTGCCTGAAAAATATAAAAAGAACACTGCAGAAACGGATCTACTTAAATATTTAATTGATGATATTTCAAACAAATTTGACAAGTCATACGATTTAAGTAATGAACTTTTACCAATTTTTGCAGATATCAAAAGATTTAGATCATCAAAAAATATAATTAATGACTTAATAAATAATTGTTGGGAGAGTAAATCAATTGAAACTGTAGAAATGTTTACCAAGCTACTTTTTGAATTATCAACCATCAGAAGTGCCCTTGTTTATAATTATTTATATGAAAAAAGTAAAATCTTTTTAAAGCCATATCCCAGTCATAATGAAGAAAATTTAAAGCAGCATACGCACATGGTTGAAATGGTTCATATAATGAATAGAATTTATATTAAGAAAGAAAAGCAATATCTTGAGACATTATTTAAAATATTTACTTCTATCCCAAATTCATCTCAAGATATCAATGTAAGTAAAGCCTATCTTAGAAATTTCTTAAGATTAAGCCTATATATACCAGAAGATTATAAAGGAAAAGTTCTATCCATAATAGGAAACTATATAGATAGCTATTACATAAAACTTGCAGAAGATTTCAATGATGAGAATTTTCTATCATTACAGAATGAAGTTTTGAATTTTTTGGAAGAAGTTTACAAACCATTATCTGATAGAAATAAAGAAACTGAACAAAGTTTTACTCAATTTCTTTTGAAATGGTTTCACGATAATCTAACAAGTTCAAATTCAAGTGATTCTTCCTTCAAATGGATAGCTATTTTCCAATTTTATCTGATTTCCATAGATTACCAGAAGCAGACGAACAAATCAAGTGAAGAGATGATACTCTTCCATGTGTTACAGATGAGCTGGCAGCAGGTGTTGAATGAAAGCCTAGATGTGGAAGCCAGACAATCTGCTGTCAATTTCATCGGTAGTCTTGTAGTACACGCAAACTACATTCCAGATAGCTGTATACGCAACTGTCTAGGGATATTATGTTTCTGGCTTCATTCCTATCTGACATCAACTGTAACGACGACACCCAAGGCAGTATTCTATGCAGTCTGGAGCGTAGTGATGTTCATATTACTGAACAAGCTGAAACAAGTTCTCAGCCATCCCCTGGAGTTTGAGTTCTTCGAGAGACTCAACCTTGGTAGGATTGTAAACTCGCAGTTCGATCCGCTGTCCCACTGCGACCCACAGCTGGTGGCCAGGTTCCTAGAGATGACCAAGTTCTGTCAGCTGGTGAACTACCACCCCTGGGCCCACAGCCCCTGTCACCACCAGCACCAGGATGTCCTACACCTGTCCCACCTCAGCCCCAGGCTCCAAGTGTTCCATCAGCCTGCCAGGAGTCTCAGTCTGCCCATCACTCCAGACCAACTTGAACTGGAGCTCATGGACTACATCTTCTAGGTCTGGCTAGAGCTTGGTATGTAACTGTTGTGGCTTGAATGTTCAGTAAATGATATAAAGAAGCATTTTACCACTTGACTTGAATTATTTGATTTATTTGAGTTTTAGAGTTAGGAGTAGCTACAACATTAGTTATCTAAATTGAGTCTTTTTTTTTGCCTGATAGAAATTTACATATCTTACTGAATCATCAACAATATACAAAAATTGAAATTTTAAAGGATTTACAATTATTTACATATAAGAATAAAAATTAAAAAATTGCTTAATACAAAATTTAATTTAAAGAAAAATCCGACTTCCAAAATTATATCACAGGATCCAACATACTCCCCCGGCTGGGAAGAGATGACCAGAAAATAAAAAATAAAAATAAAAAAAAAGAGTTCCAATAGTTTAGATGCTGGACTAATTGATTCCGACTATGTAGCTAAGATTACAATTTTCATTGTTTGAAAGGTAATGGAATCAGCTTTGTAATGGGTCTCTTGAAGATTCCTTTTGAAGTCTTTATCTGGACTACCCTGACATTCTTGTCCTCTCCTGGAAATATCTCTTGAATCCTAGCCAAAGGCCAGTGAAGTGGAGATATTTGAGCCTCTTTGAGGTAAACTAGTTGACCTATTTGGATATTGTCTTGTTTGATTCGACTTTTGCACTTACAAATGTGCCAGAGCCCCATTTGGTTACAATAACACATATTGTAGTAGAGTAGGTAACAGAATTATCAAAAAGAAAATAAACAATTAAGAAAAAAGAACATTGAATAAACATTAAACAAATAAGACATAAGGAGATAGAAGAAAAGAGAGATAGAATGTTGGCCCCCAACTTTATGTTTTGTTGTGGTCGCAGATACAAGGGAAGAAGAGGTTTTACTTGTCTCGGCACTGAGAAAGGTACGTAACCTGGATCTAACTGCCGTAGTACAGTACACGGTTAAACCGTTTGGTTTTCGACCACTACGACCCGGGTTCGATTCCCGCATTGGACACTTTTTTCTGTTTAAAAAAAAATGCTCCAATGGCCCCAGTTTCTTGCAAGTCCAATCCCACCAGCGAGTGCAAGTAACCAAACGGGGCTATGGCACATTTGTAAGTGCAAAGTCGAACTGCTTTTCACATGTGTAGATGTGGTGTGCTTACAGTAAAAGCAGTCGCTAAATACCCACCATAATTATCATGGCCTGTACCACATGTACTAGGGATAAGCAAAAAGGTACACTATGTGAGGACACACAATGGACAGTTTTCATCACCTGACTTGCCATTTTTAATATTTAGCAACTGTTAAGATGACATCTCACTTTAAACATACAGCCTTTATTAATGTACAGTTAAACCTGTCTATAGCGCCTCCTCTTGGGACTCACCAAAATAGGGTGCTATAGACAGATCACTTTTAATGTACAGTTAAACCTGTCTATAGCGCCTCCTCTTGGGACTCACCAAAATAGGGTGCTATAGACAGATCACTTTTAATGTACAGTTAAACCTGTCTATAGCGCCTCCTCTTGGGACTCACCAAAATAGGGTGCTATAGACAGGTCACTTTTAATGTACAGTTATACCTGTCTATAGCGCCTCCTCTTGGGACTCACCAAAATAGGGTGCTATAGACAGATCACTTTTAATGTACAGTTAAACCTGTCTATAGCACCCCCTCTTGGTACTCACCAAAATAGGGTGCTATAGACAGGTCACTTTTAATGTACAGTTAAACCTGTCTAAAGCGCCCCCTCTTGGGACTCACCAAAATAGGGTGCTATAGAGAGGGGGTGCTATAGACAGGTCACTTTTAATGTACAGTTGAACCTGTCTAAAGCGCCCCCTCTTGGGACTCACCAAAATAGGGTGCTATAGAGAGGGGGTGCTATAGACAGGTCACTTTTAATGTACAGTTAAACCTGTCTAAAGCGCCCCCTCTTGGGACTCACCAAAATAGGGTGCTATAGACAGATCACTTTTAATGTACAGTTAAACCTGTCTATAGCACCCCCTCTTGGTACTCACCAAAATAGGGTGCTATAGACAGGTCACTTTTAATGTACAGTTAAACCTGTCTAAAGCGCCCCCTCTTGGGACTCACCAAAATAGGGTGCTATAGAGAGGGGGTGCTATAGACAGGTCACTTTTAATGTAAATCACATCGTACTACGTATTTAAAATCGGGCGCTATAGAGAAGGAGGTGCTATTTAGAGGGGGCGCTATAGACAGGTTTAACTGTATATATATATTTAGCATCTCTACAGATCTATAAGCTTATGTCCATAGGTTCCCTAAACACCCTTAGCTGTCCTTTGTAGAGAGGTGTCCTCTTATGGAAGTTCTACTGTATATATTCAGATGGTGCAAGCCATCAGCAATTTTCAGTTGCATGATAAGGAGATGCCTTTTTCTTAATATATATACAGTAGAACTACTTCTCTGTAAAGGACAACACCTAGTTACAGAGCCATAATGTCCTTTAGGGAGAGATGTCCTCTTACTGGAGAGTTACTAAATACAGTAGAACTACCTCTCTGTAAAGGACAACACCTAGTTACAGAGCCAAAGTGTCCTTTAGGGAGAGATGTCCTCTTACTGGAGAGTTGCTAAATACAGTAGAACTACTTCTCTGTAAAGGACAACACCTAGTTACAGAGCCAAAGTGTCCTTTAGGGAGAGATGTCCTCTTACTGGAGAGTTGCTAAATACAGTAGAACTACTTCTCTGTAAAGGACAACACCTAGTTACAGAGCCAAAGTGTCCTTTAGGGAGAGATGTCCTCTTCTTCTTCTTCTTCTTCTTTCTTATCTCCACCCAATCACACTAAGGTATCAAGCCTGTAAAGCTTGAGATTTTTGATGGTGTCTGCCGGGGAAGAGTAGAGCTCATCAATGGATGAGTCAATACAGTCAATAATATGTCTTGGGGTTGCAGGCTGAGAATTGCACTTGGTACATAGTGGGAAAACCTTGCAACCATTCTGGAAAGTCATTGTCCGTAGATGACCAGACTTAAGTCTGGAAATCAAAGACTGTTGTTCTCTTGGGAGGACAGAACCGGTGCTTGTCCCTCCTGCTCTGTACCAGTCATGTGCAGCATCAGATTTCCATTCCTGCAGGCATTGGGTTTTGATGGTACGGAGGAGGTCTCTTTCGTCTAGTTGGGTGGTGGATTCTCTTGCTTCAGGTAGGCCAAGAGCACCAGCCTTTGCCAGAGAGTCTGTCAGCTCATTACCAGGAATTCCAACGTGAGCTGGAAGCCATTGCACTGTGACTGAGCTGTTGGCTGGGAGTCGGTTTACAGACTTAGCAATGCTCTTGAGGAGGGGTTCTTGACTGGAGAAGCAGCTTTGAAGGGTATAAATGGCTGCTCTTGAGTCGGAGTAGATTATTATTTTGCTTGGCGAGTTGATGTTGATGTCTTTTAGAGCCGTATCTATAGCAGAGAGTTCTGATTTATAAACTGAAAGATGTCTAGGGTGGGAGAGGGAGATTTTTTCCAGGATCTTAACTTTGTAGATAGCAATTCCACTGCCAGACAGTCCAGTTTCAAGTTGGCTACCGTCAGTGTAAATTGTGATGTCGAAGAGGGAGCTGTTTTCCTCAATGATTTGGAGGCCAAGAGCTTTAAGTAATTCTGGCTGAGTTTAATGTTTGTGGGGATTGTCTGGTAGATGAGGGAAACAGATGAGTTTGTTGCGAGTTTTGTGTGGGGGATAGGAAGTTCTGTGTTTGGGATTAATTGGGATGTCTAAAAAATTAGAGTTGTGAGCCATGTTGAGAGGAGTGGGGCGTTTTAATCTTTGGTTTGGGACCCAATTTCTTATAAATTTTCCTGTAAGACGTTCTTTTGGAGAGTTGATTTTTTTTTTTTTTTGTTATAAATTTTGAAAAGCAGAGATGTCCTCTTACTGGAGAGTTGCTAAATACAGTAGAACTACTTCTCTGTAAAGGACAACACCTAGTTACAGAGCCAAAGTGTACTTTAGGGAGAGGTGTCCTCTTACTGGAGAGTTGCTAAATACAGTAGAACTACCTCTCTGTAAAGGACAACACCTAGTTACAGAGCCAAAGTGTCCTTTAGGGAGAGGTGTCCTTTTACTGGAGAGTTGCTAAATACAGTAGAACTACCTCTCTGTAAAGGACAACACCTAGTTACAGAGCCAAAGTGTCCTTTAGGGAGAGATGTCCTCTTTCTGGAGTGTTACCAAATACAGAACTACCTCTCTGTAAAGGACAACACCTAGTTACAGAGCCAAAGTGTCCTTTAGGGAGAGGTGTCCTCTTACTGGAGAATTATTAAAAAGTAAAAATGGTAATTTTGACAATGAAAACTGTCCTTTGTAGAGAGGTGTCTCGAACGTGAGTGTCCTCTCATGGAGGTTCTACTATATATATGTTATATTAAAATATTATTTTATTTAAAAATATATTTCATTTATTCAAATATTCTGTTTAAATCGACCGCCAGAGGTCACGCTTCGCCTATAAAAACTCATTGTTATTGTTTCCCGATGGCCGGCTCAAACCTTTTTTTTTTTAACATTATGTAAATAAGTTTATTTTTTTATTCTTACACCTTAAGACAGGCATTACTTTTATCAAATTATGTTTTTATATATTCCATAAGCTCAATTAAAGCTATTTTTGATAACTAGTTTTATTTAATTATTGCCACGACTGCAGAACAATATCATATGCTCATGGATTTCTCTACAAGCAATTAATCTCATGACAGCATAAATCTCTTTTAATTTATAATATATATATATATGTTAAATATAGAGCAATCCATTTATGATATTTAAAGCTTAGAAGGTTTTTGAATTTTTCCGAGAAGAAGTTAGGCGAACAGCCTCGTCGAAATATTGATTTTTAATAAATTTATTGATCCAAAATATGCTTTTATTTTAAATATATATATGTGTGAAAAAATGAAATAAAAAAATAAAGGGTGATCATCAAAAGGTCAGGTGTTGAAATCAAAAATAAAAATGGCATATCCTGACCAGGAGCACATGTGCTTTACAGAAGGCAGAGCGCCATCTGGTGGAACAGAAATCAACTAAACATTGATTTAGCCTGTTCTCTGATATTTGGCCAACCCAATTTCTTGATTGGTTTTTCAAGAAGCCACTGGGATCAAAAATTCTTTTTGGTCGCAGTGGTTCAGCCTACTCCACGCTGACGAGCGCGAAACACGTTCGTGGATGGCTTTTCTTGATTTATCAAGAAATTGGGTTGGCCAAATATCAGGGAACAGGTTAAATCAATGTTTAGCTGATTTCTGTTCCACCAGATGGCGCTCTGCCTTCTGTAAAACACATGTGCTCCTGGTCAGGATATGCCATTTTTATTTTTGATATATATATATAGTTTGTGTGCTAAATTTTTCAAGAATGACACAATTGTATTGTACTGTGGTCACAAGGAGCGGTATGTCATAGCTGTACCTACCTTGTGGGTGAAGGTCATGCCGTCTTGGCCGTAGTGGATGTTGAACTTGGCCATGTCCTCTCCTTCCTTCTGTAACATCCTGTTGTTGTTAGATACCTCCTTGTTCTGTGTACCTAGCTACACTCATGGACAACACTTGAGGAAGTTGTACCTTTTAGCATGTATATCGGGATTGAGACAATAACTCTGAAAGATACACTCATGGACAACACTTGAGGAAGTTGTACCTTTTAGCATGTATATCGGGATTCAGACAATATCTCTGAAAGATACACTCATGGACAAAACTTAAGGAAGTTGTACCTTTTAGCATGTACGAGGGCCATCAAATAAATAAGTTTCCCTATTTTTTAACAAATAAACAACATTATTTACAATTATGCAGTTATTTTATTTTCATTATACAACTCATAGACTACTTCTCTACATAATCACCATTTCTGTCCAAACATTTTTGGTACCGTTGTAGCAATTTTTTGATACCACTGTTGTACCAAGCCGTGTCCTGTCTTCGTAGCCAGTGGTTCGCCTCCGCCTGCACTTCGTCATC